CATATACATATACATATATATATATATGAGTTTATTTGGAAGGTCTCCTTTTTTTTACATTTTGTATACTGTCACACAGTACTTCAAGATAATGTGGCTCATATAAAGTTTAATGATTTAACTTCAGAGGTATTACATCCAAATTATACATTAGAAGTTGTACATAACAACTTGTACTTAAAAATGTGGGACGGTCAAGGATTGCTAGATATTTGGGAAAAATCGTCAGTATGAAAGACAGACCAAACCAGCAGAGAAAGAGATCTCAGAGAAACAAAGATAATTCCAGATGCTGAAGTAAATTTCCAAAGAACGTTTTTACAATTTTGTTATAAAAAACTGACAACAAAATGCTTTAAATAGAAAGTTTTTCAATGAAGTTAAAGAATCTATCAGAAAGTAGAACAAAACATTAAAGAGGTGGATCATATAAAAGATAAGGTATAAAAATCAGAAAATAAATATAGGAGATCCAACATTTACCTGATAGTCGTAACAGGAAGAAAGAACAGAAAATGGGAAGATTTTATCAAATTTTCCAGAGGAAGGACTTCAGCTTTTAAAATAAAATTGCCCATCAGTTGGGGAAGAGATTGTATATCCAGATCCAGGAAAAAGTCCTGATACTGAAAATCTTCCTTCGTAGGTGGAGGGCTGGGAAAGATCTAAGAAAGAGGCTGGCCACTGCAATCTGATGATTAATGGAGTTTTTTCAAGGGCAACTTACATAGGAGGTGGGTTTTGGGCAGCTAGAAGACAATATGTTTGGCAGGTGCCAAAGAATTATAAAGGGTAAAGGAGGGATACCCATGGGTACTAGTATATGAATACTACCAGGTACGGGAAATGACTTTGCATGCTTGACAAGGTCAGGTCAACTGCCTGTTATAGGAATCAGCACATAGTAGGAGGCAGGGGAGGATTACTGATTTAAGTCAGAATGAACATCAATATGATCAGCCAGTCTCTAGGTGGGGTTTGCCGGAAGCAATCTCTCCCAGGTCCAGCTCTTGAGTCAGGCGTCAGTCACATCTTGGAACAGTCTCTCCTCAGGAGTAAACACAAGGCCCATAATCAAGAAACTCGAGGGAGAATTTTAAAAGCTTCAGGCGGTTTAGGGGTGGGAGGCCAGGGTGGGGGAGATCGTATATAAAGGTTTAGGAATTAAAATAGCTTCTTTGGACTTCAAATTCAACACTGGATAGCAGAAGCTGGAAGATAATAAAGGAAAGCCTTCAAATTGAGAGGAAATTTATTCCGAGATGAACTTAAAAATGTGGGGTTGGAGTAAAAATGTTTTCAGACATTCCAAATCTCAAAATGGATATCCCACACATGTTAGAAAGATACTGGTGGATATGTTATTCCGAGATAAGATGATAAACTAAAGAAAAGAAAGATATAGCACACAATGAGTTTTAACCAGGATGGGTGAAAAGAATCCCCAGGATAGAGGTAAAGGGAAGTTTCTGGATGCATCCAGTCATGCAGCAGGCCTAGAAATCAGCCAACTCACATTAGAAAAGGAAAGGAGAACAAGAATCAAGGAGGAAGGTCTTTCTTCAATAATAATATGGGAGTAATAATTTACCTGCTCATTTGATCATGTGAAAAATATCATTTAGCAGGGCTTTATATTACATGGAAGAGTTCCTGAATAGTTATTAATAGGTGTAAAGACAACTAAGCAAATAAAAAAAGAGGCAGTTATTAACTTTCTAAAAGATAAAACTTAAACAGGAAAATAAATGTTTTATTTATATAGGCCAGGAAACAGCATCTTGCCTTCCTGCTGCCCACCTACACTCTAATATCTGTTCACTACTTAGTAGCTTTGTCTCAATGTGAGCACACACTGTAATAACGTGCAGAGAAAGAGCATCTTATGCTCTGGTTTCTAAATTTCCATTTGGAAGTGACACAAGTACTGCTCATATTTATTGGTCAAAGTACGTCATACCTGACTTCAAAGTGGGAGAGAGGGTCAGGGGAATACATTCCTACCAAGTGCCTGCACAGAAAGCTGGATGTGTATGAAGTGTTCTAGTGACTACCACTTCGTTCAACAGTGGGGAGTCATAAAATATTTAGAATACTAACAAATTTTGCTTTAATTATATTATAACTAGAGGCCTGGTGCACGAAATTTGTGCAGGGGGTGGGATTCCTCAACCCGGCCTGCACCCTCTCCAATCCAGGACCCCTAGGGGGGAATGTCCAACTGCCGGTTTAGGATTGGACATCCCTCTCAAAATCTGGGACCGCTGACTCCTAACCGCTCCCCTGCTGGCCTGATTGCCCCTAACTGCCTCTGCCTCGGCCCCCGCCACCGTTTCTTTGTCAGGAAGGAGGACCGGATTGGCCTGATTGCCCCTAAGTGCCTCTGCCTCGGCCCCCGCCACTGTTTCTTTGTCAGGAAGGAGGACCGGACGACCAGAAGATGTCCGGTCGACCCGGTCTAATTAGCATATTATCCTTTTATTAGTATAGATGATATGGAAAGGAGGAATAGGTAGTGGGGTGGCCAAACTACCACCTATCCCATTAGACAATTATAAAATTTATAAGCAAAAAATACATATTTAAAAACTTGGAGATGAATACCAAGGAAAACATCTATAGAGTTAAAATTGGCTTGCCTTTTAGGGTAGGACTAGAGGTAAGAAGGTTTAGGCAGGGAACTGCAGTTTTTCATTGTAAGCTTTTGTATATTACTTTACTATGATGAAAAATAGAAGAAAAAGTCTGCTAATACCCATAATTATAAGGTGGTTGTGAGAATTAAATGGGATCACATGTACACATATAATAACAGCCAAGAGAAGAAGGCCTGAGTCATTGCTTGGGCAGATGTTTGCTCTCTTTCCTATTCCTGTTAAGTTGTGAGCCTCTCCTCAAATCTCAGAGTGCCTACTCTGGGGTTTAGTATAGCACTGCTTTCAATGTGTAAGGGTGAAGGTAGGGAGTAGATGCTCTTTGTAGGGTGCAGTAAACCCCCACATATGAACTTCTAATTTTCAGAGTTCAAGTGCCACTCAAAGCCTTAGGCTTGAGTAGCTACCCTGGGGATTATGAGAAATGAATACCACTTGCTTTTGGATTCCAATGGCAGATATGTACAAGTTGAAATTAATTTGAATTTATTTGCTCTGTTATTTTCTTCCTAGGATGGACCAGAGATTTGTTTTATGAAGGGTGCTTATGAACAGGTGATTAAGTATTGTACTACATACCTTAGCAAAGGACAGACTTTAACACTCACCCAGCAGCAGAGAGATCGGTCCCAACAGGAGAAGGCACGAATGGGCTCAGCAGGGCTAAGAGGTAAGGTTGCCTCAGCATCGTCCCCATGGGTGGAAAGGTAATGCTTTCTGTTCAATGCAGATAAATTCATGCTTCACACCTGAGCTGTATAGCTCTAGTCCAGGCTTCGTAGAACCCTGCCATTTCTGAAGTGTTATGTTTTGCTTGTCTAATTGACCCCCCAAAAATGGAAAAATGGGAATATAGCAAAATATGAAATTTTACAGACCTGCAGTGATGTATGAGTAGGTGATAAAAATTTTATTTTTATAATAGTTTATTGATTGAGAGACAGGGGAAAAGAGGGGGAGAGAGAGAAAAACATCCAATGTGAGAAGAAATCATCTATTGGCTGTCTCCTGCACACCCCCTACAGGGGATTGAGCCCACAACCCGGATATGTGTCCTTGTCCTAGAATTGAACCGTTAATCTCCCAGTGCATAGGACGATGCCCAGCCAACTGAGCCATACGGGCCAGGGCAGAAATTTTATTGTAAACAAGTTTTTCTTGTGAGGAAGGAGAGGGATGGAGGTAAAGTGATGTTACTCCTTCTTTATTTCATTAATTTGACAGTCTTATTTGTTAATAGATCTAAAATACTTTCCTAAATATTGAAGTCTTAAGCCTCTAATTTGCTCTTTAAGCTGAGGCGATTGCTTACTTGTTCCTCATCTGCTTTATTCCTTTGGCATTTACCAGTGAAGTATAGAAGTGCCCAGATTCTGTTTGTGTTGCTGACTAAACATGATGGGGTGAGAGCATCTGCTGTGCACACACACCTCAGGCCACTTCTCTTAGGGACATTGTGTATGATTCAAGAGGCAGGGGTTGGGGCCATACCTGGTTTTTACCTTCTGAATAGTCATCTGGCTTGTGGCTAATCATATATATATATACACACACACACATATATATATATATGTAGTGTCAAGGAAATTGGAAGAGTTGGCTTCTTTAATGTTATTATTTTTACAAAACGAAGTCAAACACTACAATTTCTGGGAGAAAGAAACAAGTTATGTAAAAAATCTTCATCTCACGGTTCACTTAAGCAAGGGCTTTTTGTGGCTATACAACATTTATATAGGTTTATAGGACTTTCTGATTTACATGTTTAGAAAGGTATTCTTGTGGTTTTATTTGAGGGCACAGTTTTGTTATCTTAGCAGCTTACAACAGAGGGTTTCAAAATTGGCTGGGATTTAGAGACACAGGAAGTCTTAAAGGTTTGGTATGTGCTTCCTGTTTTCCTTAATTTTTGGAACAGGGGTTTCACATTTTTAAAATTCTGACTCTTCTCATCTGGAGGAATGTGGAGGTTTTGTTGTGTGTTTGCTGTTGTAATATTGTGAAATAGATCAGAGTTGGTAGAAGACAAAGTCTTTGTTTCATGGGGCTTTAGAAAACACTCTGGTCATTTTTCTCTTGCATCTTGTCTTCTCCACTTCTGCTTGTGCTCCATCTTCCTCTTCCCCCTGAAAGTACCGTAATGAATAATAGAAAGATTTTAAATTTAACTTTATATATACTTATGTTGCATCTTATAAAACTTAAGTTTTTTAAAGTAATATTCATAATTTTGAAATTAGAGTATGTTTGTTTTTATATTTTATTTGGGGACCTTCTACATGAAAAAGGTCTACCTACCCTGTCCCAAACAGTAACAGTAGATCTTCATTTGTTCTAAAGAAGCAAACAGATAAATATAGGATATAAGCTCTAGGCTAATATCACCCCTCCATTGAGAGTGCCAAGAGCTGATCTCCCTTTTTGACGCCAACTGATGCTGTCCCCTTCTGTTACTATCTGCCTCTATTCCAACACTAGGGACTGTCAAGGTGAATTCATATGCCGAACTATTTATGTAGCTGTGGGGCCCACATCTTACACTGGAAAAATAGAAGTTATTTGCCTTTACAGTTGGTTTTCTTAATATATCTAATCCTCCATGCTTCTGTTTGAATAAGAATGGATACTTCCTGTAATCTTGCTGGGACTTTCAGATTCCCCATGAGATACATATGTTTAGTTTGTGTGCTTTTATTGTGTTTTCTGTGGTAAATTCTTTAGTCTAATAATATCCCAGGTTGAGACACATCCATTGGTTCATAGGTAGTAAAGTGAGGTTCCAGAATTCTGAGAATAAGCTAAATGATATTTGGAAACGAACAGTACTTTATACTACATCTTAAGTGCCCAAGGATGACAGAAAGCTAACTATAAATAATTTTAGGGTGGTGTTATTTATATACTCTTAAATTACCAGAGTTGCAAATAAGAAATACCTGTTAATGTTATAGAATGAAAGAATCTAAACTATTGTTGATGATAGTGGTTTTATAATCACTTTATAGTTAACTTTACCTCCCAGGGTTTATCATGTATGAAATTGTTACATATTGTGTCTAATTAACTAATATAGTGACCTCTTCAAGCTATTGAATTGTTACACAGACCTATAAATTGGAAAGCTGAAGATAACATTAGTAGAAGCCACCTTCAAAGGTGTCTGTTTAAAATTGACTTTAAAGCCCAACAAACCTATAGTTTCTCCAAATAATTAATTGAAGTTGCCAAAGAGCCAATAGTGTATGTTGAAAGGAGCTGGATATGGTTACTATGTAAAAAGATTTTTTATTTGCTCCTCATTTGCCTTCCCTTCTTATTCCTTTTAATTTTTAGTAACTTAAAGCAACCTTATATCTAGAACCATTAAACTATATTGTCTTACCACATGATAATTTTAGTTTTTAAAGATTGTATAGCCCTACCCGGTTTGGCTCAGTGGATAGAGTGTTGGCCTGTGAACTGAAGGGTGCTGAGTTCAATTCCAGTCAAGGGCACATGCCCGGGTTGCAGGCTCAATCCCCAGTGGGAGGTGTGTAGGAGGCAACCAATCAATGATTCTCTCTCATCACTGATGTTTCTATCTCTCTCTCCCTCTCCTTTCCTCTCTGAAATCAATAAAAATATTTTTTTAACAAAAGATTATATAATAACTACAATGACATTATAGTCTTAAGTGATTTATTTGAGAAGTGTTACTGCCTCCAGCTTTTGTCAAGTAAATTCTTTTATTTTTGTGACTCACATTTTCTTGTTTGGATTTTATTATTATTTCCTAAGTTCTTGCTTTAGCTTCTGGTCCTGAACTGGGACAACTGACATTTCTTGGCCTGGTGGGAATCATTGATCCTCCTAGAACTGGTGTGAAAGAAGCTGTTACAACACTCATCGCCTCAGGAGTATCGATAAAAATGATTACGGGAGACTCACAGGAGACTGCAGTTGCAATCGGTATAACTAGGCTGCTTCCTTTTGTTTTTGATAGTTTTTTTAAAAATTATTACAGTACATAGTTTTGTGAACCATTAGACATGAAATGTGTTTACATAATAAAATTGACTCTTGTTTGCTCATACTCTATATAAAATTGTGGCCAAACTTATTTTAGTTTAAAAAATAATACCTATCCACTATGCTGATGGATAAAAGCATAAATGTGAAAGGAAACATGAAATTTAGTTTTTCCTTTTGACTGAGTATTTTCAAAGCAGACCTGTACGTACCTACTTTGAAAGAAAATAGCTATATTTATGATTCTGTTGTTTCATCATATATATGACTGTTTTCTTTGAATGCCTTTTATGATTACTTTAAGAAGTAAAAGGGGGGGGAAATGGACATGGAAGTTAATCTCCCAGAACCAATAAACTATAGTTCTTACTGATAAATTTAAGCAGTTTGCAAAAGTCCATTAATTCTGATTTTATTAAAAGGGAGAGAGATTGGGACAGAAGTTTCACACTTTATGTTATCTAAGAAGGATGTCATCAGAAATGTAACATGGTTGGGAAAATTATACTTAGAAAAATTTGCAATTTTTATTTTCATTTACATGCAACTACATGATTACCACAGATTCACCACCATTTTATTTGATTTTGTTTACTTAAAATGCACTCTGATCTTCATTAAAATGGAGATGCTGAGCAAAACTTCATTGGCCGTGTTTCACTTCTTAGGTTCGATAGATTAAATTGTGAAAACTATTTACTCTCAAATTTAAACAAAAATAAGAGTCAAACAGAAAACCTCAGACTTTTAAAATTCAGATAGGTTTGTCTTACCAGTAGTTGTCTTACGATCCCTTGATATAGAGGCATTTTATACTTAAAAGGAAACGGATAACAATTATTATTAACTGAGCATTATGTTTACCCTGTCAAACAAAACCAATTTGGTTAATTATGTTTTCTCTCTATTTTACTTTAGCTAGTCGTTTGGGATTGTGTTCCAAAACTTCTCAGTCAGTCTCAGGAGAAGAAATAGATGCAATGGATGTCCAGCAGCTTTCACAAGTACTACCAAAGGTATGTCTAAACTAAAGCCTTTTTAGACAAAAGGCCTTATTCTAAGTGTTACCATTTCTACTACTATGAAAACCAAACTGTTTATTTCAGAACAGTTGGGATATTACTACCAAATTTGTTGTTCTAAATCATGAAATGAAATCTTATCATTGAAATCAGTTCTGTCATTGAGAGTATTTGTGATGTGATCATTATAACTATTATTACTAGTGGCCCAGTGCATGGATTCATGCACATTGAAAGGAAATTAATTAGAAGAAAGGTTCGTGCGGTAATTACGTTACTGCAAAAAATTACATGTCAAAATAGTATATATAATATAGTATTATAAAATCGAAACACGCATGCCATTGGCACCAGCGAGAGCTTTATGTGTATCGTGCATGCACGAGTCAATATTTATTTTTAAATTGCCATTGTGCATCATATATACCGGCAGGTTGGTCGGACGGATTTATGGTCACTCACTTAGCCATACACACACACACACACACACACACACACACACACTAGAGGCCCAGTGCATGAAATTTGTGCACTTGGGGGGGTGCTCCCTCAGCCCGACCTGCACTTTCTCGCAGTCCAGGAGCCTTCGGGCCTAAGCCATCAGTTGGACATCCTTAGCACTGCCGTGGAGGCAGGAGAGGCTCCCGCCACCGCCGCTGCGCTCGCCAACCGTTAGCCCAGCTCAGAGCTTCTGGCTGAGTCGCGCTCCCCCTGTGGGAGTGCACTGATCACCAGGAGGCAGCTCCTGCGTTGAGCATCTGCCCCCCTGGTGGTCAGTGCGTGTCATAGAGACCGGTCTTTCCATCGTTCGGTCGATTTGCATATTAGCCTTTTATAATATAGGATATTGCAAATTTATTAACTTTTGCAAGAACCAAGTTTCGCCTGAGGAAAATACTGTAAAAATTAGCAATGGTTGTATAAAATACAAAGTGGAGAGAGAGACCATTACTTGATGTTTTTTATCCTTTTCTATTTTAATTGTAGCATGATATGTGATGTTTTTAAAAAATTAAAATATCATCTACATAGAGTGAAATTCACCCATTTTAAAGCAGTCTTCTAAGTTTTGACATTTGGTTTCGTTACTACCACCACAATCAAGATCTAGTTCAGTTCCATCATACCCCCAAATTTTCTTGTGCCTTTTTAAAATCAGCTCCGCCCTCTACTTCCAGAATGTGGCAACCACTGGTTTGTTTTCTGTCCCTATAGTTTTGCTTTTTTCAGAATGTTCTAAAAATGGAATCATGTATCTGTTTCTTTCATTTAGCACATGCATTTGAGATTTATCTATGTTGGTTGTGTGGATGTGTGTGGTAGTAGTTCTTTTTTTGTTTGCTGACTAGTATTCCACGGTATGGGTATATGTTACCTATTCACTAGTTTAAAGACATTTGAATTTCCAGTTGTCAATTATGAATAAACTACTATAAATATTTATGTATAAGTTCTTGCATGAAAATAAGACACTAAAAATAAGGACCCATGAAAAGAGAAAATTCCTCTTGCAAGTTGTTTCTGAAAATGCATGGCCTTTTCCCCTTCCCTTTAATGATTTTTATCTTTTCCTACCATATTATTCGCTGAACGTTCTCCTTTTCTGACAAAGTTCTACTCCTTTCCCACTGTCCTTTTACCATATACTGTTGTCCTCATCCTATCATCTCCCCTCCTGCTCCCAAACTACAGTGATTTATTGGGTGCTTGCCTTTAATCAGTATATTCCCTTTTTCTAGGTAGAGAAACAGACATAAATGTGAAAACATTGTTAATAGATGAAATTCACTTACCCTCAAGTCTAATCTTATTTCTTTGATATTGTGATATAGTTTAATTTTTACTCATTTCTAAGTGTTTTTTTAATATCTAATTTCTTTAGGCCATAATTTTATGTTCATTAAATTTCAATATTTTTACTTAGCTAAAAAGATTAACCTGCTCATCCTGGTGCTTTAAAAACAAATTTTACTCTGTGTTATGTACCACTTGCAAACCACCAAGGGAGTCTTCAGCTTTGCAGTAGTAAAAGCAGTGAAAGAAAGGATGTTGCCTGGAGACAGATACTGGATGGTGGAATTTGGGAAATGCTCATCTGATTTTTTCTTTGAAGTAGGGAACAAGGTTGTCAGCTGAAAGTGAGGTTGGAGAAAAGGATCAGAAGTATGAGGAGAGGAAACTAGTATGAATGAATTTTCTAGGAGAGTGGGAAAGAGAATGGTGTGGTATGGGGATATTAAAATCACCAGGATTGGGAAGTTTTGTTGGAGAGAGTGACAGTAAGGCAGAAGTTAAAATCTTTGTGAAATGGGGAGTGACCTCTCTGGAGCAGTGAATGCTTGCAGTTAGAGGGAAGTATAGTCTCATGTAACCTTCAAAACAGGCTTCATGAATAAAGAAGGGAGAATGGAGGACACCTACCCCTCTCCAGGATATCCTGGTTGTACTATTTGAGAGGACTATAGAGATGGCCCATATTTTATGGAAAAATTAGAGCAATGTGGAAAAGGAAAGTATTTAGGGGATTTTGTCAATGACTGATGACTGACTTTGGGGCACAGTGAAAGGGTTTTAGAAGACAGGAGATGGGGTCAGAAAAAGGGATTAAATATATGGTTTGGAGAGATAAGATCATGTAAGTAGAGATATAGTGGAAGAGATCCTCATGAATTAGTCCAAATAAAAGAGAATGAGTAGACACTGGACACTTAAAAAAAGGGGTTGGGGGGCTTTATAGACATGAAGAAGTAGCTGTTCTTTTTTTTATGTATTTTATTGATTTTTTACAGAGAGGAAGGGAGAGGGATAGAGAGTTAGAAATACTGATGAGAGAGAAACATCGATCAGCTGCCTCCTGCACACCCTCTACTGGGGATGTGCCCGCAACCAAGGTACACGCCCTTGACCGGAATCAAACCTGGGACCCTTCAGTCCGCAGGCCGAAGCTCTATTCACTGAGCCAAACCAGTTAGGGCGAAGTAGCTGTTCTTTATCTGTCCTGAAGACAGAACAAGGGAAGAGGCCATTCTAGTTGTATGCTGGTGTTAGAGGAAAGGTAGAAGAGAGTTTTCCCTTTCTTTGTCTCTGAGACATTTCAAGAGTAAGGCTGTTTTCTCTCCAGAGATTGTGTATTTCCTGTGGTACCTTTGGTAAATTTTGAAATGAGCATGTCAAATGAGTGTCATAACAAGCATGTCATATTACTTATGTTTGATCTCTGTGCCAAATTAAATATAGTTTACATTGATTTTTAAAAATCATTGTTAATTAGAAGCATATGAGTTATTCTGATGTTTCTTAACATTGAAGATTTTTAATGTTTTTTGTAATTTAACAGGTTGCAGTATTTTACAGAGCTAGTCCAAGGCACAAGATGAAAATTATTAAGGTGGGTCTCTAAGAATCCAATTGTTTAAGTTTTATATCCAAAATGCTACTTCTTGTCTTAAATTATTTTTGCCTTACTAGGAGTATTTGATAGAATATTAAAGTCAGAAGTACTATAAAACAAAACAGGTGATTTTTTTTTTAGAACCTGAAATAGAATTTAGTTAGCAAAGGAAGATGTAGAAGAAAACTTGAATGAGATGTCTGCAAACTAACTTTAAGCAATTGAACAATGTAGAAGTCTGTTCTGGTAGTCAGTGCACATCATAGCAACCAGTTGTTCGCTATTCTGTCAATTTACATGTTAGCCTTTTATTATATAGAATTTACTAGAGGCCCGGTGCACGAAATTCGTGCATGGGTGTGGTCCCTAGGCCTGGCCAGTGATTGGAGCCAATCAAGTTCCCTACCTCTCCACCACCTCCTTTTCTTGCCACCCACGCACTGCCACCGTGCAGTCCCCACCTCCCCCTCTCCTCCTCTCACCACCTGCGTCCACCGCCACCTACCCCTGGTCCCGATCGGGGCCTGCTCACCAGGGTGAGAGACTGGGAGGTTGGCCGGCAGGCCCTGATCAGGCGATGGGGGCCTGCTGGCTGGTGGGAGGGGACGGGGGAAGTTGGCTGGCCGGCCCTGCCCTCAATCGGGGTGGGGGGGCTGATTGGGGGCAGGGCTGGCCGGGGGGAGGGGCCGCGGGAGGTTTGGGGTCTGATCAGGGCCCCATATGCGCCAGTTGTCCACTGCAGTGCACATCATAGCGACTGGTCGTTCCGTTATTTCGGTCGCTTGGCTTTTATATATATAGATTTTAAATATGTTTTTATTGATTTCAGAGAGGAAGGGAGAGGGAGAGATAGAAACATCAATGATGAGAGGGAATCATTGATTGACTGCCTCCTGCACGCCCCTTACTAGGGATCAAGCCTGCAACCATAGCATGTGCTCTTGACCAGAATCAAACCCAGGACCCTTCAGTCTGCAGGCTGATGCTCTATCCACTGAGCCAAACTGGCTAGGGTGTTGACTTAAATTATTAATCACTGTAGCCTTCTATTGTATTAGTTCAGAGTTTCTTAACCTTAGCACTATTGACGTTTTGGACTGTATGATGCTTTGTTGTGAGGGGCCGTCCTGTGTATTGTAGGATGTTTAGCAGCATCCCTGACCCCTACCCTCTAGGTGCGAGGAGCATGATCCTCCAAATCATGACAATAAAAAATGTCTGCAGACATTGCCAGATGTTCCCTGGAAGGAAAAATTGTCCTTAAGAACCACTGTGTAATTGGCTCTAGATCAGACTTTAGACATACAGTTCTTACACAGTGGGAATATTAATAGAAATGTGTGTTGTTTTTTTTAAACAGAAGTGTGTGAGGCACTCTGCTCTTTATTCTCACAAGCCTTTTTTGCTGTTAATCCTCACCCAAAGATTTTTTCCATTGATTTTCAGAGAGAACGGAATGGGGGGTGGGCAGGGAACATGGATGGGAGAGAGACTGTGCCTCCCACATGTGCCCAAACAGGCCAGGATCAAACCTGCAACCCAAGTACTTGACCGGTAATCAACCTGTAACCCCTTGGTGTGCCAGCTGATGCTCCAACCATTAAGCCACACTGGCCAGGGCCTAATAGAAACTTTTAAAAGTTTTATCTTAAGACCTAAATATATTGAAATTCATTGAAAAACTGATAGTCTATATTATTTCCAATCTTAATCATGTGAAAAAATAGAGAGGATTTGTTTATCACATTATCTCTGTAGAAGCAACATTTTAATCAGAATTCCTCCCTTCCCCTCCCGTCCCCACTGTAGTCTCTACAGAAGAATGGGTCGGTTGTAGCCATGACAGGAGATGGAGTAAATGATGCAGTTGCTCTGAAGGCTGCAGACATTGGAATCGCAATGGGTCAGACTGGCACAGATGTTTGCAAAGAGGCAGCCGACATGATCCTGGTGGATGATGATTTCCAAACCATAATGTAAGTTTCATTTCCCTATCTTCTGATTTGCATCAGAAAGAATCTTCTCCCATCCTTTCCTACACTTCATCTCCAGACAATTTAGGTGGAAAAGAATTAGCAATACGTTATACATTGGATGAATTAAACTATTTTAGTAGGTCAGTTAATCTTATTTTATGGTGTAGTGTGTCGTTTTGGAGAAAATTATTTTGTATGGAATTTAAAGGACAGAATAAATGGCAGGACCATTCATTTAAGAAATATTTACTAAGTATCACATTTTTCTGGTTGTAAGTGTAGTGGCACAGCAGTGAACCTTTATGGGGCTTTTATTCTAGTTAAATTCAGGCTATTAGAAATATGCATGTGCATGACTGTATAATTATTAAAAATAATCAAGTTCTCATCCATACCTATTTCCTTTTATCAGTAATTGTTCATGTTGTTAGTGATATAGTTTATTAAGTTAGAGTAACTTTGTTGTTTCAGCCATAGTTTCTAATTGATTTAAAATTCTTATGTAATACCTGGTGGCTTCAGTTTCAGTGTTCAGATGGGAGTCACCTGAATCTTGTTTTTTGATAATAACCTATCTGCCAACCTGAGTCTTACTCATATCAGTGATACATGCTACTTACCCCCTGGTGCTTTAGTAACCCACTAGAGGCCTAGTGTATGAAATTCGTGCACGGGTAGGGTCCCTAGGCCTGGCCAGCAATCAGGGCTGATCTATGGGGCGACTGGCAGTGCGATCGACTGGGGGGGTGGGGGCCCTGCTGGAACCTGCCTTGGCCGGCCTGGCGCTGCCTGCTTGCCAGCCCCACCCCACTACCACCACTGCCTGCTGCTGGTTGCCTCCCTATGTGAGGCGACCAGCAGGGCGATTGGGGGGACCCCGCCTTCACCTCCCTTGGCTGGCCTGGGGCCTACGGGCTGGGGGCAGCTCCTGCGTTGAGCATCTGCGCCCTGGTGGTCAGTGCGTGCCATAGCAACCTGTCGTTCCACCAGGTGTTCCGTCGTTCGGTCGATTTGCATATTAGGTTTTTATTGTATAGGATTGTGACCTAAAGTGAAGCATGTGGGAGCTCAGGACTTAGAATTGCCAAGCTCTTATAAGGACATAAGAATTTTTTCTTTCCATCTTAGAATTGTGTAACAATTTTGGAAGAAAGGGGAAATTGTTTACAAAACACATATTTTCCTACATTCAAACAAATGAATTAGATAATTTATATGAATCTTTGTATACCATATACTTTATATAATTTTGCTCCTACATATATCTAATTATATATAGTAGCAAAAGATAGCTTAAATTCTATAATCTTATATAACTCATTGACATACATTAATTTAACCTCTTACCATTCATGCATCTTGAACCTTTAAGAAAAATTAATGTGGGTAAAGAAGATTATTGTTTTAGCATAAGTGTGTAGTATTGTCTTATGTAGAAAGACAATATGGGATTTTAACATTGCAATATATTTTTTTAAGAATAGGAATGTTAATATTGTAGAATGAAACCAGTTTGGTAGGGCTTTAGAAGTCTTTAATTATTGTTAGATTAATGTTTTCAGATTTTTCTAATCTTAATTATGTAGAGAAAATAATATATTCTTTTAGCAAAGTATGTGTTATATCAATTGGAAAATTGTTTTTAAATCAGTGTTTTTACTATAGATATTTTTGCTTTTGTATGGTACTATTTTCTCACTTAATTTTTTTTTTTTAATTTCAGGTCTGCAATTGAAGAGGGTAAAGGGATTTATAATAACATTAAAAATTTTGTTAGATTCCAACTGAGCACGTAAGTTTGTAAAATGTTTGTCACCATGAGTCTTATAGATAAACTAGAGGCCCGGTGCATGACATTCATGCACTGAGGGGTGTGGGGGTCCCTCAGCCCAACCTGCACCCTCTCCAATCTGGGAGCCCTCAGGGGAGCCCTCTCCAATCCAGGAGTTTCTGTCTGTCTTTGCAATCATATGAGTGAATTGTCTGAGACCCCCAACTTAGTTTGGTTTGTTGCTCACAGAATAATAGAGGCATTTTTTTTCTTTGCTTCATTGGTGGAGATTTCCTGGAAGTTTTAGAATATCTTCCCTTTAATTTTTCCTAGACACTCTGGTTTTACTTATGTCTCTCACCTTTGCTTTCCCTCCATCCCCCACCGCAACAGTAACTTGGTCCAGGCTCACTTTGCTCTAGTGCAGTGGTTCTCAACCTTCCTAATGCCATGACCCTAATCCAAAGGCGAGGTTAGCAGGCAAGAAAGAGAAGGTGGTAGCTAGAGGGAACGTAGAACCAAGAAAAGTATTTTTAATTTGTATTTGTTGTTTAATAGAAGAGACCTGAACATACTTCAGTGCCTACAGGTATGATCCTTTTAAGAAGGAGCAGTTGAACCAATGATGTGTTTCTCTCACGTCGATGTTTCTCTCTTTCCCTCTCTCTTCCATGCTCTCTAAAACAGTGGTTCTCAACCTTCCTAATGCTGTGACCCTTTAATACAGTTCCTCATGTTATGGTGACCCCCAATTTTATTGTTACAAATTGAACATAATTAAAGCATAGTGATTAATCACAAAAACAATATGTAATTATATATGTGTTTTCCGATGGTCTAGGCGACCCCTGTGAAAGCGTCGTTCGACCCCCAAAGGGGTCGAGACCCACAGGTTGAGAACCGCTGCTCTAGTGTCTAGGTTCTAGGAGATCCGTCTGCCACCAGAACTACGATTCCCAGCGTTCCTGGTGCTCCCCGCGCTCTGGGCTTCCGCTTCTGGTCCTGGGGCTGCCACCAGAACTACTATTCCCAGAATTCCTGGTGCTCCCCAGGCTCTTGGTTTTCCCTTCCTGCTCTGTCTCTGTCCCACGGCCTCCCACTCTGCCAAGTCCTCCAAGCTTCCAGCTCTCCCTCTCTGCTCTCCATCTGGCGGCTTGGGGAGCCAAGTTCCCCAAGTTGCTCCACTCTCCGCTGGCTCTCCTGCTCTGCTCTCCACCTGGAGCCTGTGTATGCAAATTAACCCGCCATGTTTGTTGGGTTAATTTGCATACTCACTCCTGATTGGCTGGTGAGCATAGCGGAGGGACCGTCAATTTACACGTTTCTCTTTTATTATATAGGGCTAGGGGGCCAGTGCATGAATTCGTGCACCTTGACAGGAACTGTGGGCCTCAAGGCTGCAGTGGGCACAGGGGCAGGTCTCGGCCCATCCTCCACGCCCCTGCCTGGCCCCTCCTACCATGGCCCCCGGTCTCATCTGCCAGCAGCCCTGCTCCTGCTGCCACTGCTCCCACGTGCTGACGGTGCTGGCCCTGCTTGTACCCGCTGATGGTGTGGAGCAATTGGGGCTGGTGCCAGCAATGGGTGCGAGCGGCGGCTGCTGCCCCGATTGCCCCTTAGGAGCAGGGGGAGGTGGAGAAGCCTTCAGGAGTAATCAGGGCTGGCAGCCACCGCTCGCACCTGCTCATGGTGCCGAGCAATTAGGACCGGCGCCAGCAGCAGGTGCAAGCGGGGCTGGTGCCGGCAGTGGGTGTGAGCGGCAGTTCGGGCACCGGCAGAGGCTATGAGAGGTGGCTGCTGCCCCCGATCACTCCTCAGGAATAGTGGGAGGTGGAGAAGCCCTGAGGGGTGATTGGGGCCGGCAGCCACCACTCGCACCCGCTGCTAGCACCAAGCATTCAGGGCCAGTGCCTGGTGCCGGTAGTGGGTGCGAGCGGCGGCTCTGGCGCCAACAGCGGGTACGAGCGCTGGGCAGGACTGCGGCACATGGGAACAAAGAATTTTCAGTAACCACCAGAGGCTCGCCCCGATGACAGCAACCAGCGCCCCACCTTGGTCTGATGCCCCCGCTCACTTGCTCCACCACCTGCCGTGGCTGACGCTCGCCATGTTTCGCGCTCTGCCGCCTGCTGCCGATGCCCACCATGTTGCGCGCGTGCCTCCTGGTGGTCAGCACACATCATAGCGACCGGTTGTTTCGCTGTTTGGTCTATTTGCATATTAGGGTTTTTTATATATAGATTATATGAAAAGTATTATTTAAGCAGAATGCCTAGAGGCTTCTGGGCTATCTTCCTGAAGTTTGTTTAATTAAAAAATTAAAAATGGCATGTCTAATAGGTTCTTTTTAAAAATATATTTTTATTGATTTCAGAGAGGAAGGGAGAGGGGGAGAGAGGGAGAGAAACATCAATGAGGAGAGAGAATCATTGATCGACTACCTCCTGCATGCCCCCCACTGGGGATCAAGCCCACAACCCCAGCATGTGCCCTTGATCAGAATTGAACACAGGACGCTTTAGTCCGCAGGCTGATGCTTTATCCACTGAGCCAAACTAGCTAGGGCTCTAATAGGTTCTTAATGTGATACTTAGGTGTCTATGTCACCATCAAAGTATAGAAACTTTGGTGGTTTAATTAATAGCTCCTGAAATAACTACGGTGTTTCAAATCTTAGTGTTTCCTCTTGTTATCATTTTCCAAAAAGTAAAGGGCTTTTCTGTATTCAAAAAAACAGTTACCAAAATAGTGTTGAAACTTAACTGTTGTGTAGCAACAGCTATTCTGAACTCAGCTTTAAAAATCTTCCTTTATTGTTGTTACATAAACATTTTGAAAATCCTTTATTAAAATACTGTGGATTGTAAGAGTTAACTCCTGGCTTCAAAATGTTCTTGGAAATACAGGCTTCCTTTAAAAGCACAGTAATAATATGAGATTTTTAAATGCTAAAAAAGTGGTTATTTTATATTAGTAAGAATTATATTGTGCCGACAGATCTTTTTAAATGACTCTTTTTTTCAACAGGAGTATAGCAGCATTGACTTTAATCTCATTGGCTACATTAATGAACTTTCCTAATCCTCTCAATGCCATGCAGATTTTGTGGATCAATATTATCATGGATGGACCTCCAGCTCAGAGGTAGGAGTTTTTCATGCATAAATTAGAAAGATAAGGAAGATGTGATATTCTCATGATTCAGTTTTACAGACTTCATTCATGGAAAGCGTTAGAAACCTTTCAGCAGCATGTTTGTTATAAATTGTGTGATGTGTGCATATCATTTATTTTCTTTGGGTGCTCACTCATCCATTATGGATCTGAGCCTATACACTGTGTTAGATGCCCAGCCTTACCTTGAAAACAGATCAGGGCAATCCCTGTCCTCAGGAAGTAAGCTTTTTGTTTCTAAGAATGGGATGAATGGAGAAATCTCTGAGTTTAGTGTTACTAGCTAGGCTTTGTTGCCATTTTAGAGACTTGGGGAAAGTATCAAAGGACCTAAGCATCTAAGTATTTTGTTTTATAATAATGGGGCCATAGATGTCACTTCTCAATACAAATAGTCAAAACCTCATTGCATGGAGGGCATTTCAAAGTCCAGTTGGTCAGTCATGTATTTGAGCCCATATTGAAATAAGTAAACTTATATGTAAATGAAATTGGACAATTTTTTAAAAATTTGACTACCAATCTCCTATTAAACTGTGCCAAATAAATAAGAATAAAAGAGGAGAGAGTATAAAATTTGTGGTTATTTTTGAGTAAACACAGCCAAGGTTTCCTTTGTGGTTCAATACTTTGTTTTTTAAAGAAAGCATTTAGTTTCCTGCATAACTGATGTTAATCAGGATTGAAAGTAACAAATTTAAACGTTAAAACTTTGAAGTAATTCATTTTTCTGTTTGTTTTGAAGCCTTGGAGTAGAACCAGTGGATAAAGATGTCATTCGTAAACCTCCACGCAACTGGAAGGACAGCATTTTGACCAAAAACCTGATACTTAAAATACTTGTTTCATCAATAATCATTGTTTGTGGGACTTTATTTGTCTTCTGGCGGGAGGTATATTCACTGGATAAACTGCTTTATTAACATATTCTATATGATAAAACTTAGTTATTTTTGTGTGTTACATGGAAGGCTGAAAAGTTAGGAGAGCTCTTTGAAAAATTTGATAAAAACATTTAAACGTAGTACAGTTTTGGTAATATTATTATATTTAAAGTCTTAAAAAAAACAAAAAAACATTTAAACATAGTTTGATTTCAGCCTTTATGGGTTATTGGAATTTCTGATTAATTTATTAAAGTAATTTAAATCTGCAGAGGACTATCAGATACAATAAAAATTGCTATATGAAAATTTGGGGAGACATTAGAATATCTGAGTTTTTAGCTACTTTGTCATCAAAAAAGAAAGTTGCTTTAATATCTATTATATGGTTTGTGAGAAGACTTTTTTACTTTATGGTGACTATAGCTATTCATTAGTTGACTTTTTTATTTAATTTATTTTTAATCTTCATCCTAGGATATGTGTTTGCTTGTTTTTTAATTGATTTTAGAGAGGTGGGAAGGGAGAGGGAAAGGGCGAAGGAAAGGGAGAAGGAGAGGGATAGAGAGAACTACCACATCCATGTGAGAGAGAAACATGGATTAGTTGCCTCCGGTATGTGCCCTGACTGGGGATTGAACCTGCAATCTTTGGTGTAGGGGATGAACACTCCAACCAATTGAGCCACCTGGCCAAGGCATTAGGTAACATTTAAATCACATATAGGAAATTATGTAGCTTACATGTTTTTATATCATAAGACTAAAGCTATTTTATCCGAATGGAAAGAAAATTTTAGCCTTTTAAACACATGCAGTATTTATCCATTAAATTCAGCCACTAAAAATCATTTTTTTCTCTTGGCAGCTACGAGACAATGTGATAACACCTCGAGACACAACAATGACCTTCACATGCTTTGTGTTTTTTGACATGTTCAATGCACTAAGTTCTAGATCCCAGGTATGCTGACTGATTCAATTAGGTAGAGCACTTTCTAATTGTAAACAGGCAAGGAATATGGGTTTTTAGCTTTTCTTGATTTTGTAGCTACAGCTTATAGCCTCAGATAGCTTTCCTCCATCATGTATCATAATGGGGGTGGGGCATTTGGGAAGATAAGCCTTACCTTTGATCAGAGGATCACAGTAAATCACTGGTGTTGTCATGTGATCTTTCTTCTTCCCATTCTCTTATTATCTGTAGCTATATGGTAAGTTCAGGTTAACATTTGAGCATAAGACAAACCTCATGGGTTCTGTTAAGATGGTATTAGTCTCCTTTTAGAAGAAAGTGTTGTTAGAAATATAAGAACAATTTTTTTGCATATTAATCTTTTTCCATTACTTCCATCAGTGTATCAAAACTTAGGACATTTTAAAATAATTTTATTATAAAATTTTAAAGTATTATAGATATCTCCCATTGCTTCAGACATTTTAAATTTACTTTTCTTCCCATGTTGTATCTTAAGGTGTGATTAATTGCCTTTTCTCAATTGAAGTGCTTTGATAGGAAATAATGAGCTAAAACCTAGTGGTAGTTTTTCAGAGCATAATATTTTTTAAACTAGTTCCATTTGAGGCCTGACTATTCATTTAATTTTTAGAGCACTTTGTGAATTCTCAACTATATCTGTTATCATTTGCCATGCTAGAACTTTCCAAGTGAATTATCATTAGAGTAATTTTTGAAGATGCTATATTATTCATTTTTTATTTTATGAAAGTCAGCTTTACTTTTTCAATACACATATAAACTAGTTCCATTCTTCAAGAAAGGTTTTTAGATTAATCTACCTTAATGAATGGATAGAAATGACTTAGAATAATCATATACAATTAAAATTTCTTGAATTTTAGAATGCTAAAATAGTTTCTTTTGATTTTTATTTTTTAAATAAGGTATATATAACAGCACTCTCTTAAAAAAAAAAAGCCCTTTCTTGATAAAGAAAAGTTACTTTAAAATTTACCTTTATTCATTTGAATTATTCCTAAATAATAGTTAAAATTAAGAGATTTCATGGTCCTGCCATTGTGAATTAAATCCAACGTATTAAAAATTAGAAGGGAATGTAATAATAAAGTAGTTTGTTCTGTGACCAAGGTGTAATAATCAAACTCTGCTTTGCCAACAGACCAAATCTGTGTTTGAGATTGGACTCTGCAGTAATAAAATGTTTTGCTACGCAGTTCTTGGATCCATCATGGGACAGTTATTAGTTATTTACTTTCCTCCACTTCAGAAAGTTTTTCAAACCGAGAGCCTAAGTATACTGGGTAAAACAAATGTTCTTTATAATTTATGTATTTTAGATGAATTGTTCTATTTTCTAATGCATTTGTTCTAATAAAAATTTTCTCTTAAAAAGTGAAATAAGTAAATTAATGACTGGATTTGAAAAAGGAGTGTGCTTTTTTTTTTTCTTTTTTTTTAAATTGGGAGAAGGCTAGGGGAGTCACTCTCCTAACTCAAGGCTTTAAAATTTTTTGCAATTTTTTTCTTTTAATTTTTTATGTTATTAATTGTCAAAATCATATTTGGGTTTTCTGAAATGTAGCAAATCAAAACTTGTTAAAGAGTAATTGTAGTTTATACTTTTCAACCTTATGTGAAGAGATTATATTTAAACTCGCTGAAAACCAAATTGCTTTCCTAGAAAATTATAATTTCGATAGTTAAAATAATATTTCACTATTCTTACTTGCTAATTTGTAAGTCTTATTTTATCAAATAATAGCCTGACCTAAAAGCAGAAAATTGTATTAAGATTATGTGGAAGATAGACATTATTTTTTCACGTAATATACATTAAATGTTATGGTGCAGTACATTTAAAAATTTATCTTCCTATGTAAGTATGAGGACTGATGTATTTATGGCAGTGCTACTTTCAATTCTTGGATTTTTAAGCTAATTTGAATATTTATGAAAATGAGTTATGCAGCCTCACTGGATTTTTATAAGTTTAAGTTTACCTTAAAAATGAACTAGTTTACTAATGTCAATATTTTAACTTTTATTTACATTCCTTCCTCTTAAAAAAAGAATGGAGTTTTAAGAAGACAACAGCAATTTCTCAAGTAGTAAATAAGAGTGAGATACTTTGAATACTGTTGTAATGACATGGTCTTTAAAGATGAGTTCTCCTAGGCTTTCAAATGAAATAAATGCAAACTTCTGAATAATTTTTATATAGGTGTTTTTCAATCAGGTTAGTTACCACTGCTTGAATAGCCTTTTAAAAAGGCTGTGTGATCTGTTAAATAGAACACTCTTGATTGTGGTGCTGTGAAAGGTTATGGTTATGAGCAGTGGTTCTCAACCTGTGGGTTGCGACCCCTTTGGCGGTCGAACGACCCTTTCACAGGGGACGCTTAAGACCATCCTGCATATCAGATATTTACATTACGATTCATAACATTAGCAACATTACAGTTATGAAGTAGCAACGAAAATAATTTTATGGTTGGGTCACAACATGAGGAACTGTATTTAAAGGGCCAGAAGGTTGAGAACCACTGGTTATGAGGTTATTTGTGGTTTAGGGAAAGTAGTCAGAGGACTTGGGCCCTAGTTCCCTGGCTGCTGCCTTGCATAGCTAGGTGACTTTGGAAAAGTCACTTAATAACTTTGAGCCTGACTTTCCTTATTTTTATGCTGAGGCTGATGATACCTCATGGAATGGTTTGAAACAATGTATTTTAAAACCTGTGATAAAATGTTAGAAAAATGTAAGCTATTAAGTTTCAAAGAATTATAAAACCCAATTTATTTTCTCTTGCAGATCTGCTGTTTCTTTTGGGTCTCACCTCGTCAGTGTGCATAGTGTCGGAAATTATAAAGAAAGTTGAGAGGAGCAGGGAAAAGATTCAGAAGCATGTTAGTTCAACATCGTCGTCTTTTCTTGAAGTATGATGCATATTGCATTCTTTTATTTTTGCAAACTAGGAATTGCAGTTTGAGGATCATTTAGAAGGGCAAATTCAAGAGGAAAATGAAGATTTGAGAACTTTTTAACTTTTCATTGACTAAAAATAAGCATTAATGCTAAAGACTTGATTGAAGACTTTAACCTGCTGACAGTCTCAAATGAAATTATGTAACTTTGATAACACATTCCTTGATTTAAATTGGCTTTTGAGATTGAGGGGAACTTTATAAAGCATATGGGCATTTATTTAATAAAAAATAATAAAAAAAAAAGGCGAAACCTAAACCACTTAAAGAGGTCTAACAATACAAATACACTGTCTATCTTAGATAGATATAAATATTTTTTTTTAATTTTTAAATATTGTACTATTTATGGTGGTGGGGCTTTCTTACTAATACACAAATAAATTTAATCATTTCAAAGGCATTCTATTCGGTTTAGAAGTTGATTCCCAGGAGTGCCATATTTCAGCTACTGTATTTCCTTTTTTCTGCAATGTAAGCAGCGCAGATACCTTGTGTTACCATTTTTGTATCTCACGTTTTTTTGCACAGGATGTGACCACTGTCAGATCACTCTTCTTTTCTTTCTTTTTGTGACTGAAAAGCCGATTATGCAATTTGAAGTAAATGTTTGCTTTTCGTAGTAAATATAAATGGTTGCTTATTTTTCCCCAGCTATGAGCCTTTGGTATATCAAAATTAATATAGGGCTACCAGTGGCATTCTAGTTAGGTTAGTCATGTGTGTAGTTAACACTTAGTAAAAGATTCAAAAATATTTAAGACCGATTGGGCTGAAATTTACAAAAAATTAACATGTAATGCCTTCTTTTAGAGTTAAATATAAATACATACTTTGTCAGAAACTATTTTGTCATCCCCTATATATAAATTCAAGTACCTCACCTGAATAACTGAATTTTTTTATTTTTAATGTCCTTTTAAGTATCTTTCTTAGGAAGTTTAGAGTTTTATACTTAAGAATAAAAAAGCCTTAAGACCAAACAGGTCTTAGTTCTGGTTTCAGAACTAGGATCTGTGTGGAAGGTTCCATGCTGGCCTTGCTCTTCATGTTTCTGCAGCCTGTCCGGCCTAGATTGCAGCACAATCCTGTCCCTTCTCCTACTTATTCCTGCCTTCTTTCTTTTCACTGGGTTTGCTAGAGAAATTGATGGACTTGCTCTTGTATTGCCATCAGTTTTTAGTATAGTTTAATGAGGTGTAGGTAATTTATTTAGAATGTATGACAAATTTGGGCCAGACATTCAAAATTACAAATCCATTTTCCTGTTGACTTTCTTTCTGAAACAAATCGGTCTTAAATTTAATGTTTAATTCTTCCTGAAGTGAGTTTCATATTTTATAATTATTCTGTTTTCTAAACTTTCAGGATAAACCAGTGTAGGTTTTATCACCAATATTAAACTGTGAATGTGTTAACACTAAAATATTGTTATCAATAATAGGGAAAATATCTATACTTTGAGTCCTTGTTAGTGAAACAGTTGAGTATAAGGAGCTGAGACATTTGTAATTTAGTCTACTTTACCCTTTAAGACTCAGTAGTCCAAAAGAAAAAAAAAATGACTCTATAGTCAGATCTCCTTAGCTAGAACATGAAACCCATTGTCTAGTCAGCTTCATTTTTAGTGACATAATGTCTCACTCCTAAATTCCTTAATGATTTTTCTTCTTTGTTACAAAGACTTGAAATACATATTGATTGCACATTAGACTTTTGCTTTGGCATTGTAGGTTCAGAGTACGATTCGTATGAAATAAATGTGCCTGTTCTTTTGTTTGGTTTTTGAACAACAACAAAAAAAGATTTCATAAGTTAATGACCTTCCAGTTGGGATTGTTAATATTAAAAACATGGTGTTTAAGATAACAGAAATTAGGCAGTACTCATACTACATAGAATCTGCAATTTAAAGAGAACTGAAATGTGCAGTACAGATCCACTATATCCAGGTTTCAGTTTTCCATAGTGCAACAACAAATTCAAATATTTGTATATATATCTTCAATAGTATAATATCCATATTAGCATGGGTAATTTAAATGCTTTACTATCTAAATTTTTATTTTTTAACCTCTTTTTTCAGTCCTAGGACTTGCTAGAGTTCCTAACAATACTAACTTACTTGATATTTTGCTGTTAGACTACCTCATAAAGTTATTTGGCCCCAAAGTGATTAAACATCAGGGAAGTAAAGAAAGAAACTTGAAATAACTCACAGTTCTCAGATGATTAAAACTGGCTGCAAAGAAACAAGGCTTAATGTGTTCTCTAACATTTTACTAGTTCATGATCCAGAGAGGAAACAGAGAGAAACCAGGCAATTTAAACCTCTCACCACCCCCCTCAGCATACAGACTTTATTTAATAGCTGTGACCACACTCAAAAGGATAAAACACATTTTTTTTACCTTTCATACTTATGCAAAGTACATCTTTTACGTTGGTAGTCTTTCTGAAATCACTTTAAATTTTTATCTCTTTTATGTAGGACATAAAGGGAATATTGGTCACGCTTAAAATAGTTTCTCAATGAAATGAATTGGTAGCAAACAATAATAAATACCTTATCTAAGAACCTTAATTAACTTTACCTTGCTTTCTGCCTTTGTCATTTGGCAATTCATGAGCATTTTACTTCCACATATGACTCACCCAAAAACTTTTATTTAGTAGCTGGAGTGCACAGGAATAGGAAGATGATGGCATCCATGCCCTTGAGTGGTTCATGGACATGCTTAACAGGAGATATAACTGTTACCAAGCTGTTTCATGAAAGATAGCAATGCACATTTATTTTAAAAATATATATAACGTTAAAATGAATCTAGCATACGTTTTACAGGCAGTTTACCTTGACATTGGCATTTTGAGATCTTTGAAATGCCTTTTTAGACTGAGCTGCAATCCAAACAGTAGCTGATTTGCATACTAAAACATGATGTGGGTAAATAGTAATCCCAACTGGTATATGACTGGACAGACATACCATCCTGATAATTAGGTGTCCTTGAGCTCAGTTAGCACTTGATACGGTTATTGACTTTCTTATAGGACAGTCTTATTTGGGATTTTGGTTTTCAGAGTTGGTTTTTAACAATTGGATAATGGTTAACCAATCCTTGATATTAATCTATATATGTAAAAGCCTAAGCAACCATTATGCCCAGATGACTGGATGACCAGCCGGTAGCTGTGATGCGCACTGACCACCAGGGGGAAGACGCTCAACACAGGAACTTCCCCCTGGTGGTCAGTGCACTCCCACAGCCAACCTCCCGTGGCCAGCTGGCCCCCGATTGGCCCCGATCGCCGGCCAGGCTGAGGGACCCCACCAGTGCATGAATTCATGCACCAGGCCTCAAGTGTAGATATAACAGTTTGAAAAAAATGTTGTAGGTTTAGATTTATTAAGAAATAAGAGGTAGTTTCTTGCCTTTGGGAAGTCCTCAATCTCCAAAGTGAAATACATCCAATACAGTGATAAATGCTGACCCAAATGCTGCAGTAGCCAAAGGAGAGAAGTAACGTCACTGGACAAAGTTCCCACATTTCCCAGGACTAGTGGCATCTGAATTAATCCTTAAGTTGGGAATCTCCAGCCAAGAAGCAGCAGGATATTGCAACCAATGGCAAAGCCTCTGCAGGGGTGTGGGTGGGGCTGATGGGACTGTGAGAACCACAGGGAGTCGGGCTGCTCAGGCATGAAATCCGTAATGTGAGGCTTAGCGAGACAGGAGCCTCGTGGTAAAATAAAAGACTTGTAACATACTAGAGGATTTCAAGAGTGGGATATGAGTTTGGATTTTTGTCTTGTAACATGATGATGGGAGCACAGAGGGTAGATTATAAAAACAAAACAAGGAGGCTGACTAGAATATTGTAGAAGCATAAAGGGTTGAGCTGTGGCAGTCACTATGGAGAGAAAGCCATAAAATATCTATCTTCTAAGAGATAGCATTGACCTGACAAGACAGAAAAGGAAAAAGTGGAAGGTACCCCAGTTTCTGGCTCTCAGCCTTCAGTGGGACACAGGTCAGTTTGAAATGTGAATTTTGTGGTGTTCTTGAAATTTGCCAAGGGACATGTTAGATGAGGTCTCTAAAACAGAATGAATTAAAGCCATGGCTGACAATGTAGTAGGAAAATATTTTCATGTTACAAGCATCTTCCTGTCCCCCCCCACCCCCGTAAAAGTAAAGCAGCAAATGAATATAAACTCAGCTTTGACAGAATAAGATATTTTTTGAAAGTAGAAAAATCAGCAGTTACGTAAATTCAGGCTTCTTTGTTACAGAGTTTTCAAAATGAATCTGTTATTAAGGTACTTCACGGGACCCCAGTGGTCTGCAGACCACCGGTTGGCAACCGCTGCTCCAAAGGTTTCCTTAAACCAGTTGCCAACCTTTCGGACCTCATGGACCACCAGTGGTCCACTGGTTGGCGACCGCTGGACTAGAAAACACTGGTAACATTTTTTTCATGTTTGCATTAAGATACTTTCTTAAGAGGTGAGAAAATATATATAGCAAAGAACTGCACAGCTTGGACTGAAATTTGCTGTGGATAGAAACCCAATAGGTGACTAGCATTAACGTTAGAAAATAGCTACTTGCTCCAAACAAGCAATTTATGGTAGGAAAGTAGAAAACTTTTTTTTTTCATTTCCATTTTACTCATAATTCTTCCTTGAATCTTTTTAGCCTCATATGCCACACAGTGTGCCAACACGATCCACTTACTGGTCTTTTGGGACACTAGTCCTTAAACTTAAAATCCTTTTTCCTTGCCTCAATTTTGAGGATCAGAATTTTTACCTGTTTTTCAAAGACCAGCTGAAGAGGCAACCTGGATGGCCTTTCCAGATTGCTGTAAAGACGCGTGTGCCCGTGTATGTGTGTGTGTGTGTGTGTGTGTGTAGTACAGTTTCTTGTAAATACTATTAAGCATAA